TCTTTTGTGGTCACTCATTATCTCTTCCACCCTCTCATCTGTCTATTTCCCCTCCACTCTCTTCRTCTATTGGTCACGAGACATCGTATCAGATATCACTTTCACGATTACTCGAGACATTGTGCTGATCTGAGTCTACTTTTACTTCGACGACGTCTGCCGAGTATCTTCCAGTCTGGGTTCATTACAGGTAGTTCTGACAGAAATTCTTTTTGTTTTTGTTTTTTTGTTTTTTTTATAGTAATTCAAGGCTCCATTCTATTTGTGGGGAGCAGCACATGCTGGGAAACGGGCCCAGCATCCCTTATAAATAAGGAAGTTTCATATCAGGGCCAGGGTCCGCACAGTCTACCCCGAAAACACACTTTGAAATCATTCAAAGATTTGAGAGATCGCTTCCCGTACCTGAGAGATGAAGGGTCAAAACTTCGAAGACTGCTGGAGGCAATTCCATCTCATTGGCTAGACCTGCTGCATGCAACCAACAGATGGAAGTTGACAGATGGTATCGCCCTATGGGAACCAACTTAGATCAGGTATACTACAGACTAATCAAAGGAGTTGATCAGAATCGTCCCATACTTCAGACATGGACTGCAGACTATAGTGGGACTGACGATCTCCGTCTCCGTTTTGACTTGGAGGGCCTTCCCCTTCTGAGCCTTCAGCTGGAGCCTGGAGGGATTGCAAAGTTAATTTGAATCCAGACCAACATGGTGTAGCTCACCCTGTAGTTAAATTCAGACGTACCTCTCTTTCCGAACTCAGACTTGATCCCACGAGGGGGCACTGGTCTATATTCCAAGTCAACAAGGAGAAAGGCCGATCCCAATGCATCGTTACACATCTACGATTGGCACGGGACTTCTCAGAGAACAGGCACCTAACAACCCTTTTAAGCTACTGGGCAAATACAAATACAGGCAAGAACAGGCACTGGCTGCATATGGAAAAATGTTCAAGTTAAGCATTGGCAACTTCTTAAGGTCCTGCCCTCAGTTAAGCTAGGGAGTTTACTCTGGCAACAATCTATGCTTGTGATTACCTTTGCTGTGGTGGACCCACCAGGTGTGGTGCTCCGACTGGGACAGAGATGGAGATGGAGGAAGAAGGGGAGCGAGACCGCTACATTTGCCGTCTTTCTAGTTGGAAGAGGCATGAATGTTTCAGGAAGCTGTGCTATATGCCAGTGGGCTTGGGAGACCAACAGACATCTCTGGTTGGACTGCCCATTCTCAAAACGAATCTGGTTCTGGTGGCGCAGACACTGGTGGAAGCTTCACTGGGCATCCTTTGAACTGTCGGACGAATTCAGCCTCTCAGGCATTCCATCAACCACCAATGGGGGTAACTCCGCGGCCTGCTACGTGGCTCGAACCTTCAGGGGGCGTCTGATCTGATGTCATCCATCTGGGGAGAAAGGAACTCACATGTCTTCCGCCAAGAACGATGTGCAGATGTGCAACTCAAGGCTTGAACGTACTCGTTATGGGACGCTGGGCCCAGGGAACTGCCTGGTACTGGAATACCTGGGGTACTAGACAGAGTCTGGTCATGCCTGGAAGCAATGGTAGACCCGTACTCTCTCCTTGGTTAACTCTGAAGCCAGTATAATCTCATCCTTTTCCCCGTACTTAAGCACATCAAAGTGAATTTGGGTTATAGTTCCCTGTGACAATAGTAGGTAGCCTTCCTTTCGGCTTTTGAATCTTCCGTCCATTTTCCTCTTTGAATTGGTTTACAAATGGGATGCTGGACCCGGTTTCCAGCTCAAGCCTAAACTGGGTTAGTGAGAAACTGTAGAATACTAAAGGTGCAGGCTCTGCCCGTACTGCGGTACAAATGCTGAAACAGGATGTTAGTCCAGAAGTTACTACTTCATAGAATCTGAGTTCCACTTGTGAGTCACGCAGACCACGCAGTTCAGACAGCCTCTTGGCTGCGAGGAATCACGAGCAGGACTCAGATACAGTTTTGCAGAGATAGGGATTAGGGATTTTTAGAGTAATGATGAGGCGCTTGACCTTTGACCCGCTTTCCGGCGGAGTGTACCTTATTTCGTCCAAAGTGAGGCCTGTGCCTTAGAAATTGCAGAGTGTAGCTTATTTCGTCCGAAGTGAGGCCGGGTCATGATCCCTGTGTCTTAGAAATTCTCTTTGGCAAAGGAGAACCAAAGTATTTCCATACGCCTTTTGCTGTAGGTGAGCGGATAGAACCCTCCCAAACACCTCCTAAACCTCCCAAACACCTCCTAAACCGCAATCAATTTCCAACGATGAAGCCATTTGTCTTTGCCTTAGCCATGAATGAAACGTGCATGATTTCATGAACCACAAAAAATGGTATTGATCTCACGCATGTTTGGGACCCCCACAGGACCCCCACAACAAAAACGAAAGAAAAAACTACCAATGGGAGAGCAAAAAAAAACATCCCTTTCCCGCTCTTAATTCACAAAAACAGGGTACGGTTGATTTCCTGCCAAATTCACGATGCCTGACAGTCACACACCTTATACAGTAATCCACATACACCAGTAGTCGGATCTCCCTCCAGGGAGTTTGTTGCCAAAGGAGCCAGACCCCCAAAGCCCCCCAGAAAACTGACAAGGGGAAACTATGGCTGTGGCACACTTTTAGTTTGAAATAGGCAAAAAAAACAGGCATAGGCAGGTTTCGGGCAGCCAAGTTCGAAAAGGCAATCAAAACAAAGGCTGGCGCTTCAGATAAGGCCTGTGTTTAGATTTTGCTGGCCGGTGCTTCAGACAACGCCTGTGTTTAGATTTGGCAGACATGGGACATTAGGTGGGAAATCTCGGGCCTTTCCGAATCAATCGTTTGAGACATAGGGCCTGAAAGGGCACCGGAAGTCCGAGTCTTGCAATCTATTGGGGAACGGGTGAATTTCTCGATTTATGCGTGTCATCCTTGAAAGCACAGGGGCCATGCTAATCTTCTTTCTCTCTGTATCGTTCCAATTTTAACGGATGTCCCGAAGGACAACGGGTGACTTTCCAGGAAACTGCCACACGGCCGAATCAACCACGGAGAAGGGGTTTTGTTCAACCCTGTCATCTCCTTCTGAACGCCTACCCATCAGAATGCATCTTGATAACTGTATCCGATAACAACTGTGGGCGAATGGGCCGCGGAGCGCTGCTGGATGTGCAAACCTGAGTTCTGCGAAGGAGGAAACAGAATTCCTCCGCACACACTTCCGCATGCGCGCACACACACACACACACACACACACACACACA